CGACTACGATGAAGGTGAAACGTCTGAAAATGTACCACGTCCACGGTCCGACTTTGGAAATAATTATGCATACAATCGACTAAGGAAAAGGTACGTTCCTCTAAGTCTTCCTACCGATAGGACCAAGTTGCGAAAATAAGGTCAAACAACCTGTATACAACGAAAGGACACTGCGACCACACAAAAGGCCACACCATCTTGGTCTTCATACCTTCGATTATCATGCATACTATTGACTCAGGACAAGGTGTGTCCCTCAAAATCTTCCTGCCAAGGTGATCAAGTTTCTAAAACAAGGTCAAACTACTTCTAATAGAAAGTATATGATGTGTATTCACCCTATTTTGTTTAAGATGATGAATGACTGGTAGTTGAATTATCCCACAATGCTATGAGTAGAACTGACGAATAAAAATTGAATTTCACATAGCCTTGCTTTCATAAAAGTTGTTCTCATCCAGGGTGGACTATAGTTTCGATCTCGTCTGGGTGTTGTCAAAACCGCCAGCGGGAGTTGTGCAGTGCGTAGACTCGACCGCTTTGCCACCAGGTATTTTCCCAATATTACATTCTTTGGTGGTTGTATCAATAAAGCAAAGATATATTTGCTATAACAGTCAATTGCATTACTTATTTTTTGTTTATAAGCATAGGTTCAAGATTACCGATAAATCAACAGATTGCTTTATCGACAATCCCAACACTGAATGTGATATGGAAAATTCCGTGAAATTCACATCTCAACTGTGACCCAAGAGCACTCGTAGCAATGTGGCGGAGTGGTTAATGCGTCGAGCTTACACACTGCACTATCATGGTCCGAATCCTGCTTGGGTTGTTGATAAGACCTATGCGAGGTCTAAACTACAGTCCACCCTGAATGGGACATAACTTTTGAGAAGCAAAGCTATGTGAAATTCAGTAGGAATGTCAACTCTACTAATATCATTGTGGAAAATTTCAACTATCAGTCCTTCATCACTTTAAACGAAATAGGGTGAATACGTTTCATAAAACTGATTTACTGGTAGTCGCGAATCTCTGCTTATAAACGAAAAATAATAGAAAGCATGATCAAAGGTATGAATACCAAGATGGTGTGGCCTTTTGTGTGGTCGCAGTTTCCTTTCGTTGTGTAGAAGTTGTTTGACCTGGTTTTCGCAACTCAGCCATATTGGTAGGAAGACTTGGAGGAACGCAACTTGTCCGGAGTCCATTGTATGCCTAATCATTTCCAAAGTCGGACTGTAGACGTAGTACATTCACACACATTTCGCCGGAATCATAGTCGGAATCCTCAGTTAGTCTCGCCATTTGTAACACCATATTACAACTCGTCAAAGAGACAAGACGAGTTGCAATATGATGCTACGAACGGCGAGACTCACTGACGATTCCGACTATGATGCCGGCGAAACAGCTGAGAATGTACCACGTACACGGTCCTACTTTGGATATGATGATGCATACAATGGATCCGGACAAGGTGCGTTCCTCTAAGTCTTCCTACCAATATGACCGAGTCGCGAAAACGAGGTCAAGCACCTTCAATAGAAAGTATGCCTGAGAATATCTAGAAGCACGAAAAGCCAGCAACTAATCTTTCCTCTTCATTGCTTCTTTCAGCGTAATACAACCTTAAACTCGCCTATTTGTTCATCATTTTTCTCATTCACACCTTTTTCCAAGTCTGTATGTATTGTCTTTCGCCAGTGAATGTCAATCTCTACAATCCACTTTTGACGAGTTAAGCATAGTTTCCTAATTTATTATTACAATTAGAATGGTCTTAAGCCATTCTATGAAACATCTCCAAACCAAATCTGCCACTCAAACTTTCAGTGGAATCAATTTAGACTACTCTTGACTGTATATACATAAGTTCTCTCTACAGGGGATCAATTGTTTCAAACAAAACTAGTCTTAATGTTATTCGAATCTCTTATCTAATTAGATTTTTACATTCTTTTTACACATGCCCCATCATGTTATACATGATTTATATATTTTACACTATGCCACTTTGGTCTCCCTTGTTTTTTTTCATTAGCATGATTTATTGCTGCATTTTCATGCTCATATGTATAATTATCACTTATTTATTTATATTTCATTAATTTATCATTTTTACTGCTATTACCTGACCTTGGATTAACTGTTCTCTTTTTATATCTCAAAGAGTAAATAAAGAATAACAATCTCTGCAGCTAACTATGAATGTAGTTGTAAGCACTATTGTCATCATAGCTTATAATATACGTTATATATCTATTATTTAATTATTTCGTTGCTGGATAGAGTAAAATGCCGTTTTATCCTATATTTGGTCAAATTTATTCTTCCCCACTTTCTATGTGGTTTGCTTTATTTTATTTACTCAATAAATTTTTAATGAAGTTGAACTGGGTCTCGATGATGTCCAGGGGTTATTATTTTTATGGTTATTTACTAAACTTAGTTTCAGATTGAAATAACTCTTATGATGTCTGACATTTTACAAACGTATACTCTTCCAATTCTCATCAAAACTAATGTAGGTGTCTCGTGGAATTAACATCGTCTTAATAGCAAAAGACCTCAAAGCGAAGAGAAGTTTGCCGTCTTCGGATGAAATCGACCCATAAATTTATCCATCAGGCACCATTATACATAATTAAACTCACCTTGCTAGTATTTTGTAAATTTTAAGTTCCATAATTGCATGCAAAATGAGTTAGTTCCAGGATTTATTATTATGCTTTTAACAATTTGAGGCGCCAAAATGCTACACGGCAAATAATCTATTTCTATCTGGCAAAATTTTAGGAGATGGATAAATCAGAAGCATCTTTAGCTCACTCCACTTCTACTTACTGCCCTCGGCTAGAGATAATGAAGGACGTTCTACTCCAGTCACATCCTCAAGAATTTGCCAGTCAGAATGAGAACTCGACCTCTGACCCACACATTTCGATTTCGAGGTTGCCTGAAAGTACACCGGTCGGTGAAGGATCTATTGCCAAACAGCTGCTTACTCAGGCCGTCTGGAATCCTGGCTTATCTCAACGTATGGGTCGTCAAATAGCCAGTATGCCAGTGGTAACCTTGGTGAACCTGCCCACTTGGGCTTCTAACATACGAGGTTTGACAGGTCCAGCAAGCAAGCAAACTATCGAATGTAGGCTGAATCCCCCTCCTTCAACTTCCACCGAGAAGTCAGT